CCGATTTTTCATCTCGAGACCTACAAAAGCTACAGGGCTTAAACTTTGGGGACTTAATCTACATGCACGTACGGGCCTCCACCCCTTAAATGGACGGTCTTACCTCGCATCGTACCCATGTAAGAGCGAGCCAAAGTTTTTTACGGACGAGCTATTAATTCGCGAACCAGAAAAGCTAGAAAGCTGAAATTTTAAGGGGATGTCCCCCGTCCAAGTGAGTATTAATGAGCTCACACCCAGTCCCCGGATAGGTGTGGTACCCGCATATAGGCCCGCCAAGGCTTTTTTCAATTAAGTCACTAACTCAAGCATCTGAGAAGCTAGAAAACTGGGATTTTGAAGGGATGTTTCCTGACAGTCCTGGTGGCCAGTCTGAAATTCCTTTAGCTAGAAGCATCTGCCAGAAAAACCAGTGCCGTTAGCGACAAAAATCTGCGGGGAGCTACGCAAAAAACACATCCTTGCACGGGCAGCCCGTGCGTTGGCCAATTATTCATCACCGCTATTCCTGCAGCTGCGCAAAAAGAACAACACAACAGTTCCAGAATTCCAGTTACATTTCTAACATTGATCTATGCGAAGTAAATGTATTTTTGAGTATTGCTGTTCAATAAACTTCAAATGCAAGTTTCAATCGATAAGCATAAATTACGATGATTTACCTGTTGAATAAACCTTTTGGCGAGTTTTTCGAATCGGCACAATCGCTGTCATACGACTCGGAAGATCGCAAATGTGACATATACTGTCGACTGTTTTCCAAACTCTAAAAAATGAAAAAAAAAACACATTTCTGGGAGATTTTACGAAACATAAAGGGATAGCAAATCACCAAATAAAGTTGCGTTACAGATATCGCTACAGATATGACTTTATTAAAAATCCACATGATTAAACAGGCAAGCCTGCTGAGTTAGTAATCCCTCCCGAAATAAAACCGAAGTCAGGATCACAAGCAAGCTGACTACCAAACAATTTAGTATTGCTCGAGGCAATTGGAAAATTTAGCAACTGTATAACTGAAAAAACCACAACTTAAACTAGCAGCTGTTCTAAGTATTCGAAGCGTCTGTACAAGATAATACTATCAGAAAACTCTTTAAACAATAAAATATCCATAAAGTACCCAGAAGCTATAGCAATTAAAGTAAAAAAAATTATTTAGTAAAGTTTCCAGGAGATCCCGTTCAGCCTATGCGCCCCTGACCAAAAAAAAAAAAACGACAGTGACAGACAACTCGCAAACGAAACCAACTATTTAAACAATTCGCAAATAATGAAAAAAACTGTTAATGGTAAGAATCACGTGAAAATCAACGCGGAATTATATGGATGCAAGAGGCTTAGAATCGACGAAAACCTAGTGGCGCCCATTCATTTTTTCCCGAAGCGTAAGAGCATAATAATCTATCATGATGCATTATCACTTAGCATATGCTCCTCGAAGTATATGCAAATTTTGGGCGATGTAAGAGTCATCTACTGATAAATAAATCGTTGAGTTACCAAAGGTTCCTTTCACAAGACTTACTTTTTCATAGCGTTCAGCCCTCGAGCGCAAAAATTTGATGCCTCTTTCTAACAAAACTTCGAAACCATCAAGCGAAGAGGCATATGTATCGATTCGAACTTTTAGCATTTCCAACACCTTGAAAAAGCAAAAATAAAAATTTGAGAATTTCAGTTCAGACTGCAGAAGTTCAAAACAATTTTGTGAAATTTTAAGCTTACCTTGAAGAGATTTTTCACGCCCGACTGCAAAAGCATACGCTGATCGAAAAAATAATGCGCTAGAAGCGGTTGCGAATATGATGCAAGGGCTGCCAAGACCGATGTTGTTTGCAAATTTACATAAAGTGAATTATCCAGCATACTTTCCAATGAACGCAACAGTGATTCCAAAAATGGGCCAACCCCTAAAACGGCAAAAGTCTGGCAAAGGATTTGATAAAGGGCATAAATAATAATGGTAATAATAATAATAATGGTAATAACAATAACGGTAATAACAGGGCCACTTGGGCTGGCGCTCTGAGCATCCAGTGTTAGTGGTGTTACTCAAATGCCTCCGAACGTCGGATGCAGCCACGTCAAGCCGCTGGATCTTGGAATGCATATTTTTATCAATTACCCAACGCCTATTCAACGACGTATCGGCCCCATCGGCCTGTTCAACGACATAGGAGCCTCATTTCTTTGAAAGCCGACCGAATGTTCTCTTTCTTTCTTGCGGGTACCATTCACTAATGTGCGACAACAATAATAATGATAAAGAGTAATAATAACAGCGGAGTGGTGTTAATAACAGTAGTGATAGCGATAATGAAGATTATTAATAGCATAACAATAAATATCAATAAATATATGTAACATGAGATATCTCTACTGTAGCACACAAATTCATGAATTTCCACCAATCATCCCAAATTTAACAACAGAAAATCTAAGCCTTTTTATGCAATGCCCTCTAATATGACTGATGCCAATAACACCACAGGTTTCAAATTAGTAGAAAAAATGATCTTAAGGACTCTCTGGGGAACTTATTGATGTTAAATTTGAAAATGCTACCGTGATTTTCGAAATATTCAATAGGTTGTCCCAGCGGTGCCAACAGTTCGTCCTCATTATCATCTTCGTTTGGCTCGTTTTTGTCGTCTTGCGCCTCCGCAGGTTTATTTTCCGCTTTCAGTTCATCAAGATATTGAATTCGGGAATCTATCAGTGCCAGATTTTCCTCCAACGAATGCTTCACCTTTGTAGGTGGTACTCTATCGAGAAGAGCCATGAAAGTCTCCACATCCTGAATACTCTACAATAAACTTATACCCTAAAAAATTGGAGCCTTCTCTTCATATCTGACGCTCCAAAAAATACAAAAGTTTTTTAACACGGTCTAAGTATAACACTTTATTATTGCGGTTCGTTGGCAAGGTTATCGATAGCCCATTTTTTCACGACTGTCGAAAATAAGCTAATGGCGGTCAGGATTCTCAGCACTCGCCAATTCACCACTGAAATGTATAAGCGAATGGTATAGAGGATGGTTAACGGACTCAAACTACACCAAAAAATAACATCAAAAAGCAGTTTTGTCAACCTGTTGCAACTGAAAATGCCAGTGTAAAAACTTAGTTTAGTTACTCCAAGTAAAAAATTTCAAAAACTGTCCTAAGACAATTCTTCTTCTAGCTTTATATCGAGAATATTAAGACCACAGGGGCACCGATGCGAGTATCATAGGCTTAATGATTTTATTCAGATATTCCCACACAAGCTACATATTTTTCGCCCGAAATATGTCTTAATCCAAACAGAATTGTGTAAAATAAAATTTTTATGAAAAACTTCGAAAAAAGTCAAAAAATATTTCCTTTATATTAAGAACTTGAATCAAAGCTTGTAAATTGCAAATTTGAATCAAAGCTTTGAATCTGTGTAAATTTGAATCAAAGCTTTCACATATTAAAAACCCAGTTTCATGTGAAAATCATAGCAGTCGTATATGACTGCATGGTACATGCATAGCGGAAACGGAACACATGGTTAGTTTTTGAAGAAACCACCCACGCCAGTTGAATAACAAGGGATAGGTCTGCTGCTCGACGTGTGGATGACTAACAGCAGCACTGCAGAACTTGAATATCGAGAGTTCGATCAAACTTCGCGATCCCAAAAAGTTCAAATCTGAACCAAAACGTACTTCAACCTTGCCCCATCCTCTGAGGACAAATGAACGCGCCATTTCCACATCCGTATCACAGTTTGCATTAGGATTCATCGGGCCATCTTTATCCGAAACCGCAGCTGTTTTCGATACTCCCTCACTGATACTGTTGCTAAACCTGTTCGGTACAGCTGCTTCATTGTCAGTTTCCGATAGCTCACCATAAGCAAGTTGAAAATAATCGCTCGATGATGTCATCATTACCGAATTTGGCCTGAAAATTACATCAGCTTATGATGAATTGTATCGCCGAATAATCTACTCGAGTCTCGCAAGCACATTTATAACACAAAATCTAAATAGTCAAATGCTGATAATTCGCAAATATAGCAACTACGACTGGCAAGAATTCCGATGATTCTTTCTTTCGCAGATTCCCTGAGGCGAGGCGAAAATAATGCCACTTTCTGAAAACACTAATTTGTCCTCGAAATAAATGAGCAAGTAGGACCAGAGGAGAGGCGGGGAGAAGGAGGGGGAAAAATGTCTGGAGAGAGGAAAGGGGGAGGGGGAGAGAAATGGCTGGTTTTGTCATTCAAAAATGCGAACCAACCGACTGAAATCTAAAAATAAGTTTCATGTCATAGATGTCAGAGACTTGCCTCTTCCCTCCTCACCCGTCCTCGTTTTCTTCTCAGCCCTCTCCTCTCCAATTCACTCTTCCCTCACTCTTCCCAGCAAAATGTTATGCA